GTCGTAAGCAGCATTCCATTCATCAAACTCGCACATGTCAGTGCCTACATCTGCCTCTGACATCTACTCTCGCTGCATGGGATCGCAAACTCACGTTGCAGCTGCAGATGCGTAATTCCCAATGCTATCCGGAAACAGCTAATCTCTCTATTATCAGCGCTCTATAACCAATCCAGCAGCAAAGCAAATGAAACTCCAGCAATCGTCACATCCTGCGAACAACAGCCCTGCACCGCTCATGCACCAGCAGCAGCAAACAACTCACAATGCTGCTCAAATCATTCACAGTCTGAAATTCCAAAGGAATGCCACCAATTGCGATAACTACGAAGCAACCGATTGTACCGATAAAGTAAGGTGGACTTGCAGTACATTGCACCTCACAGGATGACGTATCTAAGCTAGACAACCTCCTGAAACAGACGGAAAAAGCAACTGATTTAATTCATACCAAGGTAGCCCCAAAGCTATGAATTCCTAAGTGCACCATCCACCGACAGCCGCCAAATACAACTGCTGAAACAGTAAGCACCGCAGATGCAAAAGCTACGAACAGCAACATCTCCAATTCCAAGCCTCTGTTTAAACTCTTACTCGCCACACTCTCTCTAAGCTATTACTACGCTCAGCCATATTTCAGGCCCTTGATATCTTCGCCAGCTTATTTGGTATTTCGGGGCCAACTACTTAGAAATTCTTGATAGCTTCGACTATATCTTTTAGTTAAGTTTTACTTGTTATTACTTTGAGTTCAAGTCCGAGTGGAGGCTTTGATGTACACTCTGAGAAGGAGCCATCTGTTAAATTCTTATTTTAAGAAATAAAGTGTACCTGTTCACGAGGTTCCAAAACATTTAGCTGTTAGACAAAAGTTTGGAATCCCAAAGTATTATTAACCAACAAAGCTGAAAATCTAGAAACTAAATATTCAACTAGTGGGTAACAGACACTGCCTAAATTTAATTCAATTTTGGGCAATAAAATAACAGTTTTATGAGTTTTAAGTAGAACATATAATCTGGCACAGTTCTTAGCAGATGAGATAAGCGTTTTTTTTTTAAAGGGTCGGGATAATTTGTGAAGTTTTAATCACAGTTTTTATTTTTGAGGGGTCCAAAGGTGAAGAAACTCCAGAGATCAGATTATATGGACCTTCATTTAAAGGTTTAATGGCAGTTTCTGTTCAGTTTTTTTTTTTCCGGGCTTTTGAGGTGCTGTTTGTCTTGATTCTCACTTATTTGTTAGTATTACTTTTGTGTTTGCATCACTTTTGTGCATGCAATGAAGTGGTGTTGTCATTAAATATCATCGCCATGCATTATTCTTAAAGAAATAATATAGTTAACATAAAAAATACATGCCAATATTTTCTCGGGTATTCTAAAGGTATGCTGTTTTCAAACATTTTGTGGTTTTGCTGTTGAATTTTATGTGGCTTAAGTGCGAAAAAAATTATGTTTAATAATAAAGTTAAAAAGACAAAAACAAATTAGCTGTGTTATAAAGAAAAGCTGTGCAGCAGTGAGTCGTCCAAGAACAGACTGGTAAACTGGTAAAATGTGGGCACAGAACAGAACATAAAAGACCTTAACACACCACTTTAGTACGACGTTACGATTTGAATCGTTTCAGATATTTCTTTTTCTCCTATTGCAACATGTGATCTTGAATTTCTTTACCGAAAACAAAACTCTTTTCAGAACGACCTTCTGATTATGATAGTGCTAATCCGGTGGGTTATTTTCTAGAAAGTGAGGATATTAACAAGTTGAAATCTTAAGGACTTGCAGCTGATTGGCCGAGCAGCACGGGCGCATATCTTTTTGCATTTACTCTATCATCATCCCCTGAACTTTTCAGTATTCTCTGTATTTTCTGTATATATTTTATTTTATTGCTACTAATTACTGTACAGTGATTATTTATTTTGCATATCTAAATTGTGTATTGCATCTCCATAATTCATCTGAAGTAATTGGCTATTCCACACAAGTCAACCGATTCGATGCTGCTTATCACGTGACTACAGAAGCTCCTCCCCCCCCCAGCGTCTGCTCGACGTATATCATCTAAGTAGTATCAGCACAGGAACAAGGAGTTTCTTTTTCTCTTTCTTCATAACAAATTTCCACCTCCACGAGAGAACCTTCCCCAGGCCCCTATACGGGACTACATCAGGAACTGGCAAGAGCAGGATAAGTTTTCTCTGCTGATAGCCAGTATAGCCACAAAGTTCCAAAATTTCAAAGTAATAACCGGCCGAAAGAGCCCATCAAATCTCTGAGACAATAGATCATGTTTGGAACGCTCTTGAAAAGGTCAATGCAGCTCGCCTTTTTCTCTCAGAATCTTCCAGGACATTAAAACAGCATTGCTGAAAGATTGGCCCAGACCACCAGGGGGACTCATAAACTGCCTCATTTCCGCTATGAAGTTTCGCTGTGAGAGTTGTGTGACTGTTAGATGCTATCATATCGTATATTAACCTTCTTTTTTGTCGATCTAGCGAGCTCTGTTTCATACCTTTCTGCCCCAAAGAGCCATACTCACCGATTGTACTTCCTGTACCATGACTGGTGCCATTGTGATACTAAGCGATTTTACTCCAGTTTTTGCTTAACAATTCTGGTTTCGTAACTTCACCTTGATAATGTGATCTTTGATCCGACAATGATATAGGTGGGAAACACATTACAGGTCATGGCATAAAAGGAGAAACCAATATATTTAAATATGATAAAACCCTTTCAGACCCATTGCGCAGACTTATCTTAAAACAACTATAAATTTGTTTTGTTCTCTGGCTGAAATCAAAATTATACTTTTACGGTAACTATGTTATTCATGTATGAATCCTGCATTAATAAATAAATGGTTTATGCTGTAGTGTATCATTTAATTTTCTAACCAGTAACCTCTCCTATCAAAACTTATTTCATTTCCTTGCCAGAATACTAAATTTTAGCACGCGCGATTTTCAAATAAGGTAGAAGAAGGATGTACTTAAACGAAGGTTTCGGAGGGTGAAATCAGAACGTGTTCTGCCTGCTGGAAAGTCGCGTTACTTACTTTGATTCTCTAGCAATTAGAATTCTGCAGCGTTGAGTTACTCTAGTCATTAGGTTTGTGTACATCGACTTCGAGTCAGAGCCAGCTTGCGCGATATTTAAACTGTTAAGCCGTCAGGCTATACTTAAGTTCATCAATTTTAAGTTAGTCGTTACCTTTTGATTTAAGCCTTTTGATAAGTCATTACCTTTTGATTTAAGCCTTTTGATAAGTCATTAGCTTTTGATGTAAGCGTTTTAATTACCATTTGATAAATCATCACCTTTTGATTTAAAAGGTTGGCTTTTGTAAGCACGAGTAGGTGCCGACTGTTGAACTTTATATGAGTTTCCTATACACCCTTCTCCTGATTTTTTTAGTAAGTTAAAAGACTTGACGATAATTCGCCAAACAGTCTTCAGTGTCGCTTACATTTTAGGATAGCTAAGACTACACCACTTTACAATGTATAAAAAATAAACATTTCTTTTATAAATTTTAGACTGCTCAGATTGTTTCCACAGTGATTTTTTTTTTTTTTTTTTCCATTTTATTTTATTATTCATTTAATTATTTATTTTTTAGTAAAAGGGATTCTAGTCCCCAAATATTGACCGATAATGGTATTCCCTGAATGGTGGCTAAATTTATCTATCATTTTGCCATCCTAGAGAACATTGCCCATGATCCATGTTTCATCCAAGATATGAATTTCATCCCATATGCATGACAGTTAGTTATCTCAGAAATTCTATATATTCATTCTCAGAAGTTCTATACATTACTTTCCGACGTTATTCCATTCCATTCTCAGAAGTTCTATACATTACTGTCCGACGTTATTCCATTCCATTCTCAGAAGTTCTATACATTACTGTCCGATGTAGCTATTCTCAGAAGTTCTATACATTACTGTCCGATGTTACTAATAACAATAAAAAAAGTAAAAAAATAAAATAAAATAAAATCTGAAAGGTTTCAGATTTTAAATTACGTCCAGAGAACCGTTTTTTTAACATTTTGTGTGTTACCTTTATTTATTAAATATCATGATCTTCGCACTTAAACCATAAAATTCAGTTCAAGAGCAATATCGCAAAATAATTTTAAATTGAGCCTATCTTTTGAATTTCCGATACTCAGTCTCACGCGCTGGAAATAAAATTTTTTTTTTTTTTTTTTTTTTTTTTTTTTTTTTTTGTTTTTTTTTACAACGTTGCCAGTGCTCGTTTTGAATCCTTGAGTTTGTTAATCAAAAAGTCGTTAGAAAATATGAAATCGATAATAAAGCAAATTTCAAATTTTTAAATTTGGTCTTCCTAATGCCCTGGAGGATTACGTGATTCAAATTTTGATGGCTCCAGATACCGTTATGTTATCACTATGTGAGAAACATACATACATTTATGCAGATTTTTCATTATTTAATTTAGTCAAATATAATGCAAGACGATTTGGTGGCAACGGTTTGAAAAGTGATACAGCCCTTTAAGTGTTTCAATGCAAAATGAAAACAATGGTCCCTCAGGGATCCCTTTGGACTAATAAACACTAAACATCGTATAATTAGCCTGCACTCGAATGATAGAAAATTTCCCTTCGAAAGATCCCAAACGAAATTCACGTTCTGTAAAAACAATCACCCTGATATACTTTGTAGTTATAAAGGCAACATTATCACTTCTGAATTTATTTCATCCTTATTGACCTTCTTAATTCGCTTAGCGACTTATTTCCTGAAAGAGTCACGCTGTAGAGTTTCTGTTAATTTCTAGTTATGCGTAGTCAGGAACTATACACGGATAAACTCATATCGGAATTTTTCTTATCCCATATCGCTGCCGCTCAGTCACGCCCCTTCTGACTCGGATCCTATTGGCTCGCCACCCACCTCCTGCGATTGCGGGAGAAAAGGCAGAACTACTGACCCAAGAGAAGCATTTTAGCAGAGAGTTCTATCCATTGACATCCATGAGTGTTTTGACTGAAAATTTCTGAGAAGCCAAGGGGAGAGCTGAAGACTTTTGCAGCCGAAGAGAAAAAGATAAGGGAGAAAATGATGCCACACGGAAAACTAAGGTGAGTTCATTACCCTCACATTTTCTTAAGCGGACACAGAAGCTCCTATCTCCATAATAAATTCAAGAAATTCATGCATATTTTTCTCTCAGAAACTGTAAGGTTTTAGAGTATGAAGCTTAATTTTTAGTAAATAGGATGATATATTTTTACTACTATTTTAATCCTTAACCTTTTTCAGTAATAGCATGTTTTTTCCCCCCGTATAATTTACACTAACCTTTCAGCTTGCGTTTTTCATCACATTAGTTTTTCTAAAAATAATTTTTTTAGAAATTATTAAAGTTATTAAATCTTTACTCTCTAATACTCAGTATTATAAAAATTTTAAATGATTAGGTTTGATGGCTAGTGAAAAATAGAAACATGTACCTCGAAAGATCAGTCTTAAGAAAAAAAAAAAATATTTATGGATTATGTCAGCACTTTTACGGGAAAAATGAATATAATAATTTAACTAGATAGTAGAGGATATCTAGTTCTTCATTATCGTATGCGTCTTTGACTGTTTTTTTCGGAAATTTTAGTACTTCGCGTTTTTATAATGCGAAATACTATCCATTCAAGCGCTCCTGCTCTACTGACCATTCAAGCTCTAATGACTATTCAAGCTCTCCGTCGTCTCCGCGCCGTCTTTTCGACTTGTTTTTTTAATTTTCATAAAGTGGAAGCGTGGATTGATTGCTCTTGTAGTTTAAGTATCAGATTTTGTTACAGTACCCTTCATTTGCAGGAAAAGTTTTATGCAAATCTCGCGAGAGCCCTCCGATGGAAAAGTTCTCAGTTCTATACCTTCAATAATTAAGTCATTTTTTTCTTAATTAAGTGTCTCCCACATGGATTTGATTTAGGAGAGAATAATGTCAAATTTTTTCCTACTGTCTGGCATCGTTAATTTGAACAGCTTGTTTAAAATATGAGATTTTAGGTTCTGTATTTTTAAATTTCTGTATTATTAATTCTTTAATTTATGAGTCTGTCGTAACTGTTTATTTTAAAACTGCGTAGGTATTAAAATGGATACGAAGATTAGACTGCAATTTTTAATGATTTTTATTTATTTTTAATGATTTTTTTTTAATTTCGAAATTTTTTTGAAATTTTCAGAATGCAGTTTTTATTAGCTCAAAGGAGCGTTAGATCCAAAGTGCTATTAGTCTCAAAACGGCATTTTGCGTCGATTCACTTTCTGCGTTGGTTCACTTTTCAAATTGTTGCCACCAAATTTGATCGACACATATTTAAAGAAGCTAAATAATGAAGAATCTGCGCGAATGTATATATGTTTCTCGCGTTGTGAAAAAAACATTACCTAGAGCGATCGAATTTTGAATAATGTAGTCTTCCAACCGAATGTGGGCACTTGGAAGCCCGAATTTTGAATTTCGAATTTGTTTTATTATTTTATTTCAGATTTTGTAAAACTTTAATTGCGAAGAACATGATATTTAATAAATAACGGTAGCACATAAAACGTTAATAAAAAGGTCCTTTTTGGGTGTAATATAAAATCTTTTTTTTTTTTTTTTTTTTTTTTTTTTTTCCTTTCTCTCTCTTTTGTTTTAATTTATTTAACGCTTAGAAGATATGTTTGTTATTCTCAGTAGGAAACTTTTACGTCCTGTCAAATAAAAAGCTTTGCTGTATAGGGTATGGAAAGCCTCGTGCACAGTGATACAATAAAATAAATCCACAGCTTCAAATTTGAATAATTAAATCGTTTTTTTTTTTTTTTTTTTTTTTTTTTTTTTTTTTTTTTTTTTCTTTTAAATAAGTGAAAATGTCTCGACCTGGCAATAATTTATGCTGAAAATAAAATTGTTGTAACATGCTTACCATTTGCGTAGTAGGTTAATAACAGTTCATTTTAAATGTACGATTTAATGTTCTAAATTTTAAATCCAGGGAGAGGGGTTATTTCTTAAATTGATTGGCTAATTATAGCGATTAAGCTTAATATTTTTTTAAGAATTACAGTGATAAAAGTATATGAAGAGTTTTTACAAATTTTGTAAATTTTATGTTTTTAAAATTTGTAAATATTATTAAGTTTTTTAATATATTAATCTTTAATGTGAAATTTTAAGAGTTTAACTAATTAATTTATTTAATCTATCATGATAAGTAAATGGATAGTTTCATCTCACAGCATGTTATCACTTTCAGTATTCCGAAGTATATTCTTGTAGCAATACTACTTCGTTTTACAAAATATCCCTTACTTGCCCGTAATTTAAATAAAGAGCTTATAAAACTTTAATACACTTATCATAAATTATACATTACATTTAATTGCAAAATGATAAAGTAGTCAAAGCATATATTAATGTCATTTTAGTGAATTCGCAAATAATATAATGTTATTCAGAATAATTTTAAACAAGTAAAACGATCATAGTAAATCTAACTCTTGATAGATCGTTCGAATATATGTAATAATAAAAGATACTCAAGAGAGGTAATAATAATAACTTTGTCAAGCATGTGCACGTCGAAATCTAAATTCTGAATTTTATATTTTTTTTTACATTTTGTGCATTTAAGAAGCTTTTAATGCGAAATTCAGAAATTTCAAAGCTTTTAGTTGACACTCTGCAAAGCGTAAGATGTTTATGTTTCAAATTTAATCAGAAAATTCAGCGGTATAAAATAAATGTGTTGCCACTTAGCGAAACACAATATATGAATTTTTTTTAATTTAATCGCATTGTGAAAAACGGCGACACCTAAAATTACCAAACTTTGAACTCGCATAATCTTCCAACCGAACATATGCACCTTGAAGCCAGAATTTTGAATTTCTAATTTGTTGTCCGTTTATTTCGTAATCTATGCGAATTTAAGGAAGTTTCTATCAAAAACTCAACGATATAACAGCGTTGTGTTACTACATTCCATAGCGTAAAATATTTATGCTGAAAATTTAATCAGAAAACTCAAGGATATATAAGAAATATGTTGCCACTTAACAAAACGCGATATATTTCTTTTTCGAATTCAGTCAATAAATCCAGCCGTTGAAAATGAATGTAATGCAATTTTCTTCCGGAATATACTTTTTATATTCCTATTTATTCATACATTCATGAAATAGAGAATTCAGATATATATTTAATATCCATATATTCATGAAATCACTTCTGCAAAGACCCGATCCAGCCTGCGTGTTATGCGCAAGGTGGCGAGACTTAGGTACATAACAGCAGAAAAAGACAATTACTTATCATAGATAACGTTATTCAGTCTAGTATCAATACTGATAGCATTTGCCCATTCAGAGAAGCTTTTATAAAATGCATTTGGAATACCCTAAATATGTATGCACACTTGAAATACATAAAAAACTCTTTCTAGGGGACCGCTATCGGTCATCTGAACTTTTCGGAACATCCAACTCTCTTTAGTCAATAAACCCATGCTTGCTAATTCCCTCGCTAAAGTATTTAACCAAAGTGTAATGGAACTAAGTGAGAAGCGTAGCAGGTGGCGCCCCGAAAATTCCCGAGCATGTGACCCCTCCACCCGCCCCATGACTCAGCGACAAGTGGGCAGCTTTCCCCAAGGTACGGGAGTGGAGGGAGATGACTCAGGGTGTCATCCGATGCTGTGGGAATCTGAGGGATTTGGCTGCTCTGCGCTGCATCAAAGGAAATTTTTGAAAAATGAAATCGCTTACAACGGCGTAAACGTAAAACAATATTCATTTTTTTAATTTTTCAGCTAAACATTCTGTTATCGTATAATTGGAATTTTTACTAATTACTCCTCTGTTTTATATCCATGTTTGCCTCTAGCTGTTTCGTGCAAGAATTAATTATATACACTGTGCATTTTATTGGTTCAATTAAGGTATTTCACATTTTATACTCGTTCTTAATTTTTTTTTGGAAAACTTGCAGCTCCCGCCACCTAAAATTATTTTCATAGAAAAGAAAAATATATATAATAATTTTAGTGAATCCAGGTGATGTAATTTCACAGATCCAGCTAGCAATTAATAATTATAAAAAAAAACATCTGCGTTTATTACTTTTAAATCTATTAGTTTAATAAATGACAGAAATCTGAAAGAAAACTCAGACACTGACGCTTTGCTGAATGGCAACACACTGCGCGGGGAAAATAAAAATATTTTATTTCGGGGAGGGGCAACCCATTTCCTTTAAATCGCTGAATTTGTTGATTAAATTCGAAAGATAATATATTGTGTTTTGTAATACACTTCTTTTAAATCCCTGACTTTTCTGATTAAATTTGAGAAAGATAATTAATATAAGCTTAAATCTTAGCTAATATTAAGCGAAAAGCTTAGATAATATTAAGCTTTTTCGAATGGTAATAAATTGCTTTCAATCTCTGAGTTTTTGATCAAACGTTTATTGATTTACACAAGACACTAAATAAATAAAGAACAAATTCAAAATTCTGGCTTCGAGGTGCACATGTTTGGCGATTCTCTAGGTGCAGCTGTTTTTACTTCCTTGTACGAAGTAAAAAGGAAGTATTGTAATCGCGAAAAGTTTCAGGCAGCATATTTCAACGAAAATACCCATTTTGACCGATATCGAATGCAATTTAACGATGTTTTTGCATGACATCTGTACGTAAGGGCAGAATAAAGAACTCATTTTCTCGGAAAAAAAATTTTAATCAGCTTTAAAATGTATTCTGAAGAGAATTTTTCGTGGTGTCTGTGCGTACACACACGTACGTATGTATCTCGCATAACTCTAAAACGAGTATCCTCAGAATATTGAAATTTTGTATATAGGACTGCTATAACATGTAGATGTGCACGTCGTATTTTGGTTGCAATCGACCGCCCCAAACGTTTATAAATATATTTATGTATATATCCACTCTGTTACCAGGCTCAGTGATCTCAGATTCTTTACTTTTATATGTTTGCAAATTGTGCATTTTTTGCTTTAAAAATGATTGAATTATGCTGTTCTTATAAATCTAGAAGCAATATTTGTAGAATTATCAACAATTTAAAA